GGGCCGAACCTGCCACCTTAGGTGTATGTGGCTGGCGCCTTAGCCACTTGAGCCACAGGTGCCTAGCCATAACTTTGAAATAGGACAGAAAGTCGAGGCTGGGAGGGGGGAGAGAGGCCTGGGGTGAGAGGTGGTGGAGAAGCTATTTCAACAGAGGGGCTTGGAGTTCATCCTTAGGACCAGGAGAGGTTGAAAAGGAGTAGTAAAAGGATTAAGATACCACCCTCCTCTTAGTATGCTCTCTGTGTGGGATCAGCTGATCACAGCGGGGAGTGGCTGCAGGGAGATCAGAGACTTTGGGGGGAGCCTGCATGGGCCAGAGGAGCCACAGGACCGGAGAAGTGGACAGGCAGGAGAGGGACTTGGGGGCAGAAGGCAGGCCTTGGTTATGGGTGTGGGGAAACAAAGGAGAGAGGGGAAGAAGTCAGGGAGGTCTCTCAGGGTCTCAGGAGAGCAGCTGGGGCAGTGAGGGTCTCATTTCCAAGGACACTGGCAACTGTGGCCTGGAGGTGTGCTGGTGACCTGTGTGCATAACTTCACACTTTGTTCTCCACTGACTTCACAGGTAGTGCCTCCTTGTTCTTGCTGGTTTTACTGCCTCACTTTCTACTCTTCTTTTTTGCCCTTCTGTTCCGGCATCCTACAGGCATGAGTCCCTTCCTCCAGTGCACAGTGTACTCTCAGGGCTTTTGGTGGTTCTAAAGAGTAAAGCTGCCGAACCCATGTTTCTGAATTAGCAAGAACATTGCAAGCAAGCCAAAAAAAAAAAAGCTAAAACAACACACAATTGTTTCAGTCCAACATCCATGATCACACGGTGTCTGGAGGATAGCAAAGTTTGGGAGCTCTGATTTGGGTTCTGGGATGTCAACAGATGTGAGCCTAGGGCTGGGCTGTCTGGGAGGTGAAAGGACTCAACTGGAGAGCCGGCTCTCCCCCAGCTGGCTGGGGCCCACTGAGCAGCCACTAATAGGTGACAGCTCCTTGCCCCACAGCTATCTGCCTCTGAGTCTGATTTAGCATCTCCCTAAGAAACAGGGAGGCCACAGCCTGGTGTCTAATTAAAAATCTCACAAGGACTCTTCATAAATGCAGGCAACACAGTGCTCCCCAGACCAGCCTAGAGAACCTAGCTGTTTGTCACTCTTGGATTCCTCCTCCTCAAATGGAAGGAGCAAGTTCTTATGGGAAAGGAGCTGACTTCAGTGATTCCCATTCTGTTATCGCTGTTTCCTGGGTGCATCCATCTGGCAGGTGAAGCCAGTTCTGTTGATATTCCTGAAACTCTGCAACCAGTTTGATTTGCTACTGTCACTGCACTTAGCTAATTCCCTTAAAAATTTGACTTATTTTTTGGATGGAGACCAACAGAAAATGGATTTTCCATCAATTTAAAGTATTCATGAGCTTTAATATAAAAACAACAAGAGAAATGTTCCAAAATTGCCATGTATGAGGTCAATAACAGGCAAGGCTGTGTTGAAGCAACATTTCTCTCTATTTTTGTGTTCCAGGACCTGCATCATGGAAACTCTTGCTGAAGCAAATGGCACCTTTGCCATTAGCCTTTTAAAGATACTCTGTCAAGACAACCCTTCACATAACGTGTTTTATTCTCCCATGAGTGTCTCCTCTGCCTTGGCCATGGTCCTCCTAGGGGCAAAGGGAAACACTGCAGCCCAGATGGCCCAGGTAAGCTGGCCCCATTGCTCAGGAGGGAGGACCATGAGTTCAATCACCAGTTTCACACTCCTGCTCCAGGAGTGCTGAGGGAGGAGGGCGGCCCTGGTGCCTGTGTGTGCACACACCAGTTCAGGGAGGTGGGATTGACTGGGGAAGAAAGTGCAAAGGGAGGGAGAAGGGACATGAGGAATCTGCCCCACTGAGATATGTTTTGTGGGGCGAGTTTCCTTGGCCAATAATCTGGATAAGATTGCCAAAATTTTGTCCTAGCATTTTATCTGTGTCTAAGAAATGATACTGGAAATGATTTGAAACATAAGATCAATTTTCTTGCAGAAAGAGACTTTGTATCTGTAAATATTCCTTGTTAAGGAAGGCTATTATCTGTTTTAAGCCATTTCTATACCGACTTGCCTTCCTAGCTAGGTGAGGGCATAAACAAAAGTATAAAAAGGAGAGTCCAGAGGCATGCGCTTTCTTCCAGGTAGAGACTGCCAAAGCGCTGATTAGTTCAGCTTAACATCCAGGGAAACTCTGGGTATGATTTAGGATCAGTGTCTGTTCCAGGAGCTTTCAGAGAGGGTGGAAGACACGTGCTCGACATGAAACTTAAAAGCTGTGTCATCCTTGAACTTGGGCCTCTGAACATCCCTCTGTTGTGGAAATGTTACTCACTACTGCTCTTTGTTTCGATAGGACTTTCTTTTCCCTTGATGACCCTTTTCAGTAATGATTTCTCACTTTAATAAATTCCCAGCTTGTGTGTGTGAGAGAATGAAGGCTTTGTGTAGAGGGTGTTAACCTAAATAACAGAGAGAGACTCTAAAAGAAAAGATGTTTATCTGGGAATCCAGCACTTCAGTGGGGCTGCATGTGCTATGTGCATATTCAGGGAGTTAAAAAAGTAAAGATCTTTAAAGGAAAAAATGAAGAGCATTACATAACTTTTTTGAAGTAATTATCCTTGGCTACAAAGATGATGACAAAGGCGATGCCAGTTCAAGGTCGGACAAGTAGTTCCTGGGCAGTTGTCCTTGCAGAAGTATTTTTTTTGTGAGAGGCTGTGATGGCCTTTCAGCAAGGCTGTGGTTTTTACAGAGGTTTTTGTGAAGTTTTGTTATCAGGCATGCAAGCTTGAGAACCCTCTCTTCAGGGCCCTCCCTGGCTCAACAGGGTGTCCTAAAGGTCACCATACAGAGGAAAATGAATAAACTCATATAATATTTTATGTTTTTAATATTTTTTATGTTTACATGTCAACACATAGGGAAATATTTTATAACATTTCATAATGAATACCTTGTAAATAAAGATACATTTAGCTATAGATTTCCTTTTTCTCTCTATATGTATGCATGACAACCGTTGGGACATCTTATATTTGTCAGGGGACTTTTTGTTGTTGTTTTAACATTAGTGACACCATTTTGATTCTGCAGTCTTTTACGCTTAAATATTTATGGTCTTTTTCTATGTTTTCAGCTTACTGATAAATCCTTCTTGGGAGCTTTTAAATTTTTCTTTTTTGAGAGCACCGAAATTGCCTGGCTGCTTTCCGAGGTATGGTGTCCAGAGCATTCCATGCCTCTGGGGTTCAACCAAATGCTAACAAAGCACTCAAGGTGCTGGGCGCACAGTGCTACCTATAACCTAAAGAGAAGTTCTAATAGCAGCAGAAATATTTTAACAAATTGATTATCTAACTTGATTATTTCTGTAAAGAAAAGAAGTTGTTTGTTTTTCCTTCATTATATGAGTGGTAAGAACCATTTTTTTAAAAATATAAAATATCTTTTTTTTTTTTTTTT